GGGTCTATACTGACCACTGTGGAACCCTGACCTAACTAGAACTGCCATCATGAGCAGCACCAGCAGCCAGTACAGGGGTGCTGGTCACCGGGTAACAATAACACACAACTGATCATCTCAATGATGAGAAGCTCGTAATACATCACTGCTAAGTGAACACACTTCAGCTACACTTGTACGTAAAATACACCTGACGTGACGGTGTGGGACAAATTAGTTGTAATAAGTTGTTAGTGATGCTTCGCACAGTTACAAGTTAACAGCACTGCCTCCCACAGCTACAAGTTAACAGCACTGCCTCCCACAGCTACAAGTTAACAGCACTGCCTCCCACAGCTACAAGTTAACAGCACTGCCTCCCACAGCTACAAGTTAACAGCACTGCCTTCCACAGCTACAAGTTAACAGCACTGGCTCCCACAGCTACAAGTTAACAGCACTGCCTCCCACAGCTACAAGTTAACAGCACTGCCTCCCACAGCTGCAAGTTAACAGCACTGCCTTCCACAGCTACAACAGCACTGCCTCCCACAGCTACAAGTCACTGCCTCCCACAGCTACAAGTTAACACTGCCTCCCACAGCTACAAGTTAACAGCACTGCCTCCCACAGCTACAAGTTAACAGCACTGCCTCCCACAGCTACAAGTTAACAGCACTGCCCCCTCCCCAGTACACAGCTCCCACAGCACAGTTAACAGCACTGGCTCCCACAGCTGCAAGTTAACAGCACTGCCTCCCACAGCTACAAGTTAACAGCACTGCCTCCCACAGCTACAAGTTAACAGCACTGCCTCCCACAGCTACGAGTTAACATTACTGCCTCCCACAGCTACGAGTTAACATTACTGCCTCCCACAGCTACAAGTTAACAGCACTGGCTCCCACAGCTGCAAGTTAACAGCACTGCCTCCCACAGCTACAAGTTAACAGCACTGCCTCCCACAGCTACAAGTTAACAGCACTGCCTCCCACAGCTACAAGTTAACAGCACTGCCTCCCACAGCTACGAGTTAACATTACTGCCTCCCACAGCTACAAGTTAACAGCGCTGGCTCCCACAGTTACAAGTTAACAGCACTGCCTCCCACGTGTCTGAGACATGCACCTTCTTATAACGTCACACTGTTTACAGTCATCATCATGGATAAATAACATACTACTATTATTTATAGTGTAAGAAGTGAGACAAGTAGTTTCTCATTAACATACATCACTTACTTTCTCATCTCGAGTTACGTGTTTATCGAAGCACCACAATTTTTTGTGGGGGGAGGGGGAAGGTCTTCCCAAATGCCTAGATTTTGAGGTATTTTTTTTTTTTTGAGAAATTCGTAAATTTACTGGTTCTACGTAATGTGAAGAGCAGTTGAAGAACATGAAAAGTAATAATAATCTTTATACCTTGTACATGTACTTATAGAAGTATAGTACTAGCTGACATCAGTGACATACTACTATATAGAAAGCCGCTTGTTATCCAGAGCGTTTTGGGGGATATTAGGTCAGTGTTGTCCCAGGATGCGACCCACACCAGTCGACTAACACCCAGGTACCTATTTTACTGCTAGATGAACATGAACAGCAAGTTTGTAGATGAATGGTTCAGAGAACCGACATGTTGATAAATTAGACACATGTGCAACTCTTGGGTATCTTTAAAGATACCCAAGAGTTGCACATGTGTCTAATTTATGAACAGCAGGTGTCGTAAGGAAACACGTCTTAATGCTTTCACCCGTACCGGGGATCGACCACCGGACCTCAGTGTGTGAGCTGAGTGCGCTGGGCACAATACCGTGACCGGAACAATACGCAAATAACTCGCACATGAGAGAGAGAGAGAGAGAGAGAGAGAGAGAGAGAGAGAGAGAGAGACAGAGAGAGAGACAGAGAGAGAGAGAGAGCGCTTATGACGACGTTTCGGTCCGACTTGGACCATTTACAAAGTCGCATTATGCAGTTATGTATATCATTGGTCTTGTCGGTATTGAGTACCTCTGATATAGAAGATAATGAATTAAGACACATGTGCAACATTTAGATATCCTGACTTGTCAGTAAAGATGGCGAATTACACACATGTTGCACCACTGATGAGAACTACACATGTTGTACCACTGATGAGAACACATGTTGTACATCATGTGTCTAATTCTCATCATTGGTGTTACCGACACGTAGGTTAATACGAGACAATGTTCAGTTTATGATGTTTTACTGATGAGACCTTTCTCCCTCCAGCGACCCTCTCAGTCTCTGATGGGCGAAACATATTCTCACTAAGATTCCACACGCCGCATGCTGCATCTAATTAACGAAGAGTTGCAAGTTGCAAAGAAGGGTGAGCGTAATCTAGTAAAGCATAAATAATCCTGGTAGTGTTGTTGATCTTGGCTTGGCCAACAACAACTTGATGCTTTAAATGGATCCTCTCACTACTTGCTGACTCATGTATATATACACGCGCTCTCCCTGTAATACACACACACTCTTCACGTGTATGTGTATTATTTTTAGATATGCAAACGTGGTTTTTTTGGTATATTTCAGAATCTACGAGTGCAGAATAGTTATATAGGTGTCTGTATCTATTTTCATGCTATATTTTATTCTCACTGTCTTCACTTATAGACGATGAGAAAGGTTTATTATAGCGATAAGCGTAAAAATCAGGCTGGAAAAGCAGTCTGGGGAAGATAATGCTGTGGTTACAGCAGAAGGATAAGACCCCTGGTTGTCTTCAAGAGGGAGCTGGACAGATATCTCAAGTCTGTGCCGGATCAGTCGGGCTGTGATTCGTATGTTGGTCTACGTGCGGCCAGCAGTAACAGCCTAGTTGATCAGGCCCTGATCCACCAGGAGGTCTGGTTATAAACCGGGCCGCGGGGTGGTTGATCCCCGGAATACCCTCCAGGTAGACCCCAAGTAGAGCTTGGAAGAAGCCAAAGGTGTTTTGAAACATCCTCACCGAAAAACGTCAGTTTTCAGACTCCAGCTTCTCTGAAGGGAAGGGTCACTTGGGCGGTCGGATATACATTGTGTGTATGTATTCACCTATTTGTATTCACCTACTTGTGGTTGCAAGGGTCGATTCACAGCTCCTGGCCCCGCCTCTTCGCTAGTCGCTACTAGGTCCACTCTCTCCCTGATCCGTGAGCTTTATCGTACCTCTTCTTAAAGCTATGTATGGATTCTGTTGCCATTACATCACTCTGCAGACTGTTCCACTTCCTGGCAACTCTCTGAAATACTTCCTAACATCCCTGTGACTCACCTGTGTTTTCTACCTCTAGTTGTGACCCCTTGTTGCTGTGTCCCATCTTTGTGTGTGTGTGTTTCTGGAGGTGTTTTATGAGGTACGAGAGTCTGGAAGCGTCGGTGTATCGAGGATGCCTCTTTCGAGGGGTCGTTGTATCGAAACTGTTTTTCAATCGAGGTTGTGCGAGAGTCTGGAAAGGGTCGTTGTATCCAGGTTGAAAGTCTTGGGGTCGTATCGATGCACAAATCTGTACCGGGTCGTTATATCTATTTTGTAAAAGTTTGGAAGGGTCGCTGTATCGAGGTCGTGCAAGTGTGGAGGGGGTCGGTCGTTATATCAAAGTTGTGCAAATCTGGAGGGGTCGTTTTAACGAGACTGTGTGATAATCTTGGAGGGGGTCGTTGTAGCAGGGTTGTGTAATAATTTTGGAGGGGGTCGTTGTATCGAGGTTGTATAGTAATCTTGGAGGGGTCGCTATATCAAGGTTGCGAGAGAGTGGAAGATAACACTTGTTGCCATAATGATCCTCATTATCAAAGTGGCCTGGTGGCCTGGTGGCTAAAGCTCCCGCTTCACACACGGAGGGCCCGGGTTCGATTCCCGGCGGGTGGAAACATTTCGACACGTTTCCTTACACCTGTTGTCCTGTTCACCTAGCAGAAAATAGGTACCTGGGTGTTAGTCGGCTGGTGTGGGTCGCATCCTGGGGGACAAGATTAAGGACCCCAATGGAAATAAGTTAGACAGTCCTCGATGACGCACTGACTTTCTTGGGTTATCCTGGGTGGCTAACCCTCCGGGGTTAAAAATCCGAACGAAATCTTATCTTATCTTATCTCATGGTCATTTAAGACACTAACAACTTGTTCAGACTATCCATACGCAGTTCGCATCCTCCTGGCGTAGGTGTGCTAGCAGGTGTCTTGTTAAGGTTGATCAGTGGCGCGTATAGTAAGTATGGTATATCTATTTCTACATGTACGTGGTATATAGGCCTAGCTTGTCTTTCAGAGCATTTCGGGCAAATTAGGTTAGTTTTGTCCCAAAGATGCGACCCACACCAGTCCACTAACACCCAGGTACCTATTTTACTGATGGGTGAACATTGATAGCAGGTGTCTTGAAGAATCACGTCCTGATGTTTCCAGCCGTACCGGGGATCGAACCACTGACCTCCGTGTGTGAGCTGAGACCGCCAGTGAGCTACGAGACACCTTGGTAACAGATACCGACAAATTGGTCCAGGACACGTGAGCAAACATTAGGACTTATTTGTTTGAAAACGTTTCGCTCTTGGGACCTTGTTGTATGTTAGAAGTGATCAAGGAGGAGGTTCCAGGACCGAAACGTTTTCCAATGTGTTTGGGCCACGTGTCTTTCTAAATCACAGTAAGCGTAAGAGCGTAAACAGTGTGACATAAGCACCCATAGCTAGGTCAGCTGACTGCTACATGCCACACCCACTTTCTGATTGGCTGGCTAGGTTATCACGTGGACACTGAATGTTCTCATGAGGCACAATACCTTATTCAGCCTACCCGCTGCCAGACCATAGAAGTGTCCCACAATATAGGCCACCATTCCTTACTATGCCTCCACTAAACTCTCACGCTACTTAACCCAGCACTTGTATGATAGTCCCAAACAATCCGGAGCTATGGATAGAATCGGGTGGAAGGCGTAAATGTAATAAAGAATTGCCACCGTACGACAGTTTGGGAGTGCTTGGTATGATCAGATATTTTTGGAAGGTTGACGGTGTAGAGCTCAGTCAGCAAAGAAGATCGGGGGTTGGCGTGCGTGTGCGTATGTGTGTGCGTGGCAAGACTTGGGAGTTTAAACAGTGTTAACTAATCCACGACGTGCGGGTATTTTATGACAACATCTCTATCACATAGTAAGTGTTCATTGCTCTCTACCAGATCTGTGGATGAGGGACTTTACGATTATCTAATGTGATGTGTGAAAACAAGAATGATTAGGTTTAGTTTGTAAACAGTGCGAAGCATTGGCAGTTTGAGAACATTAGTAATATCAAAATTATCCAATATCCTCAGTAATATTGTGTGCAGTGAGTGTCAGTCCGAATAAGTGGTGTTAGGTTTGAACGTCTCGAGTGATATTTGTCTTTAAAAGTGGTTAGAGATATCAAAGGCATGACATTTAAAGGTAAGATTGGTTTGGGATGAACATTACAGGGTGTATATATATACCGAGTGTGTGTATATACACCGACTTTATTCTGAATCTAAGGGTTAAACTAGTGTTTGGTTCAACGATGGGCCTTAATGACCCTTGTGCAGTCGATATGTAATATATGTAAATACATGGTGTACTTGTATACATTTTATTTAAATATATATAAGTAAGTTTATTTAGGTATAGATCCACATAAGTACAGTTATTATATATAGTAACACGTGTGTAAACTACTCAGGATCTAAAAAAGTGACTCGATGTATATGAGAATTTAAATGTATATACAAATTTAATATGTTGGTAACTTCCTCAAATGCGTCATTTTTAGTAGCTGTTCTGATTGTATATGGTAAAAACTATAGTAGTAATCTGTAATATATAATTCGAACGTTTCCCCCGTATAATAATCTTTTAAATGCATAGAATAATGCTGGAGGAGAGATTATGTGTGTGTGTGTTTGTGTGAGATATCAACTGCAGTAGTGGTAGTTAAACTTGACTGATGGCAATAGTAAGGCAAATAACTGCCGACAGCTTGGTGAAAATAGACCTGCGGGTGTACAGACCTGCGGGTGTATAGACATGCGGGTGTATAGACATGCGGGTGTATAGACATGCGGGTGTATAGACATGCGGGTGTATAGACATGCGGGTGTCAAGAATAAATGCATTCGTGTCGATTTTCCCTCAAGTTAACAGGTTGGGCTCGACGACAGGTCATGTTCAACAAATATTGCTGAGAGTTTGGCAAATTGTTGTAGCTTGTAGAATATACATTTTAAAGGTGTACAGTACCATAGCCTAGATCTACAATACAATAAAATAAACAAGACTTGTATATTTTGTGCGGAAATTACGTATATTTTTGGTGTACCAACAGCCAGTAACCTGCAATAATGAAACGTAAACACACGTGAACATTTTTGGTCCTATTTTGCTTTATTCCCAGGGACAGAACTTACAACATTAACCGCAATATCTGTTGTGGAAACCTGTTAATGATAGATGTATCAGTCATAATGAGTGGTGAAAAAATAGTGGTGGGGGGGGGGGGGCAGTTTCGCGTGGATCACTTGTAGACAAAGCAGCTGTACAGTGTCAATAATAAATAATAGCATTTATTTATTAATTTATGAACGTATCAACAATAGATAAATAAGTACCGCAACAGATAAGTGTTTCCTGTTATGGTTCCGGAGATGATGTGGTGTGTGATGTTGCCAGTGTTCTCTCCCGGGAATAAAGTATATAATGACCAGACATTTTGCCTCCTTGACTTGTCTTAACCACATCTTGTTGGTGTCTATACCGGGGTTTTCGCCACTCCCGGCAGTGTTCCGCTTATGTTTACGTTAGACTAGTCAGGTTACAGTGTAATGAATGGTTTGAAAAACCGACAAGTTGAAGATTGAGACACTTATGCAGCATATGGGAATCTTTATTCAGGAAACGTTTCGCCACACAGTGACTTCATCAGTCCAATACAAAGAGGAAGGCGTAAGGAGAAGAGGAGTATGAGGTAATCAGTCCCTCAGCCTGGAGTCGATGTGTTCAGTCCATCAATCTTGTAGATGGACTGAACACGTCGACTCCAGGCTGAGGGACTGATTACCTCATACTCTTCTTCTCCTTACGCCTTCCTCTTTGTATTGGACTGATGAAGCCACTGTGTGGCGAAACGTTTCCTGAATAAAGATTCCCATATGCTGCATAAGTGTCTCAATCTTCAGGTTACAGTGTAGCGGAGGTGATTAAACCAACCAAGCGATGGGCTAATAGGCTATAACTTGATATACCTTTTGAACAGTTTGGAGAGTTTACAACTCTCGGAGCCCGGCCATGGGCCAGGCTCATCTGGTGCTTGCCTGATGAACCAGACACTACTACAAATGACGGTTAACATCGCCAAGTTTGTAAGCGAAACTGGTTCGGTATTAGGGAATCTGTTGAGGAAGGAGCCTTTTCGTCCACCAGGGACTTAATCACTCCAATGCAGAGGCCAGTAAACAGAGTATATAAAAAATAAGAGGGTAGAGTAAGCTGCTGCATGGGCTGTGGACGGAGCTTAGGTATGGCAGTGTTCTGCTTCGGTGAAATTTGTTTGACTGGTATTTTCGAGATTTTGAAGCTGTTTGTCCTGATAACGATGAGAACATTCTAAACATCGTCAGCGAGAAAAGTATGATTCCTTGGTAAATTTGTCCAATTGGAACTTCACGAGATCGTTGTGTGTATTAGAGTGCATAGTGCAGGCGCTGGTTGGGTCGTCCCTTCATCAAGGGTACTTTATTGTATTAATGTTAGTAGAATTACCGACAATATGTAAAGTAAAAGGACACAAGTGCAACTAATGCGACATTTTATCGTGGCAACGTTTCGGTCTCCAGGAGCTTTTTCAAGCCGTTACAAACAATACATGGACACAGAGGGTATGTATAGACTTTGTGAGTTGTAATACTAGTGGCAGTAATAGTGATACAAGTAGTAATGTATTACTATTACTTATATTACTATTAATCGTGTGATAAATGGTTTGAAACCGACAAGTTGAAGATGGAGATACTTGTGCAACATATGGGAATCTTTATTGAAGAAACGTTTCTCCACACTGGCTTCATCAGTCCAATATAAATCAGAAAAGTGTAAGGAGAGGGTAATCAGTCCCTCAGCCTGGAGTCGATGTGTTCAGTCCATCAGTCTTGTAGAAGTGGTTTATATACCGTAGTCAGGTGAGGCGAAGCAGGAAGAGGTGGGGGTCATGGTGGTACCATCCACTAGTCCAATCTTTGGACGAAGACTTACTTCGGCTAGTGGATGGTACAACTATGATCCCGCCTCTTCCGCCTCGCCTGACTACGGTATGTAAGCCACTTCTACGGCTATATGCTGTACTTTCTGCAAGATTGATGGACTGAACACATCGACTCCAGGCTGAGGGACTGATTACCTCAAACTACTACTACTACTACTGGACTGATGAAGTCATTGTGTGGCGAAACTTTTCTTCAGTAAAGATTCCCATAAGTGTCATTACTACTACTATTAATATTACTACTACTATTAATCTTACTATTATATTACTACTACTATTAATATTACTACTACTATTAATATTACTACTACTATTAATATTACTACTACTACTATTAATATTACTACTGTGGTATAAACCTTGGTAATAAATACCGACAAGTTGGTTTAGAAGAAGTGATCAAGGTCCCAGGACCGAAACGTTTTCTAATAAATATGTTAGTGTTTGCTTACGTGTCTTTCTAAACCAATATTACTACTACTACTATTAATATTACTACTACTATTAATATTACTACTACTATTAATATTACTACTACTACTACTATTAATACTACTACTACTATTACACTACTACAACTATTAATATTACTACTACTACTACTATTAATACTACTACTACTACTATTACTACTACTACTATTACTACTACTACTATTACTACTTATTATTATTACTACTACTACTACTATTACTACTACTACTATTATTAATATTACTACTACTATTATTAATATTACTACTACTACTATTATTATTACTACTACTACTACTATTAATACTACTACTACTACTATTATTACTACTACTACTACTATTAATATTACTACTACTATTAATATTACTACTACTACTACTAATAATATTATTACTACTACTACTATTAATATTATTATTACTACTACTACTATTAATATTATTATTACTACTACTATTAATATTACTTCTACTACTACTACTATTAATATTATTACTACTACTAATACTACTACTACTAATAATAATACTACTACTACTACTACTAATATTAATACTACTATATTAATATTACTATTACTACTATACATTACTATTATTACTACTACTATTACTTATATTACTATTACTTATATTACTATTACTACTATTACTTATATTACTATTACTACTACTACTTCTTATATTATTACTACTACTACTTCTTATATTATTACTACTACTACTTATATTATTACTACTACTACTTATATTATTACTATTACTTATATTACTATTACTTATATTACTATTACTACTATTACTTATTACTATTACTACTTCTTATATTACTACTACTTATATTACTATTACTACTACTACTACTTATATTATTACTACTACTACTTATATTATTACTACTACTTATATTACTATTACTACTACTACTTATATTATTACTACTACTTCTATTACTTATATTACTACTTCTATTACTACTATTACTACTTATATTACTACTACTATTACTAATATTACTACTATTACTACTACTACTATTACTGTTACTACTACTTATTAGTACCATTACTACTACTTATATTACTACCATTACTACTACTACTTATATTACTACTACTACCAGTATTACACCTCATGCTAAGCCTATATATACCCTCTGTGTCCATGTATTGTTTGTAACGGCTTGATAAAGCTCCTGGAGAGCGAAACGTTGCCACAATAAAATGTCACATTAGTTGCACTTGTCCTTTTACTTTACAAGCGTACTTATCTTCACTGATTGGTTGTAGGCTCACATTTCCCCACCTGGAATAATGTAGATACCAGCGTTGGGATTACCGTGTTGGTTTATTAGGTTGTCGATAGTGTTAGGAGTAATGTTGGTTAGGTGTTTATTGTCGATAGTGTTAG